GTATTTTCCATTGCATTAAGTATCATTTGGTTTTGATGTTACTCTTCACAGCGTGTCAGTCGGTCTGTGGGCAACTTTTATGGCATGCTGTCGTAGTATCCTGGCGGTCATCTCCGAAATGTTTTTGATATATGGTAATGTGATTGTTTTGCTTGTGTTTCCGGTTGTCGCGTTGGTTGAATTGCATTTTCTCAAAGATCTCCAGACGAAATTCCTTGGGTAACCGTTCCTTTGAAAGATTCTGTATAGGCGTTTCTCTTCTTTTACTTTAGATTCTACTGTGTTGCAGAGTGTTTCAATTCGCTTGAATAGTGTCCGGACACCGACCTGTCCATTTCACTTGAAATGATCGGAACACGTTTCCACAAATCGAAACAATTTGCTCAATGGACCCTGAATCAGAGAAGCAATATTCCAATTATTGAAGTCATAGACATGTGAAGCTCCTATAGCACCAGACCCAAAATCGATGTCCTGAACCGTCGACCATGCTGTCAGATCGATTAGTAAATCTCCCATCAGTAGTGTGTGATGTTTTTCGACTTCAGAACAACGGTCCTCAAACCTTTCACTCCACCGCGAATTTAGATCTTGAGCACAATGTCATTACTATCCGATTTTAGATGAATTATGGCGGCGTTGGATGTAGTTGAGACAAAATACTATTTCACATAATGAAGTAAACTGTAACAACTCCCCAGAATCCCTATCTCCCCCAAATGGCAGTCAGTTTCCACAGATGGTGCACAGTGGCTTAATATGTCCGTGAAGATACCAGTCCCCAGATAAGGCTCAGTACCCGGTTACTAGGAGCGGTCGATTTGGCGGACATAATAAACAGAAAAAGGAGGGAATGATATCATGGGTAGGTTTAGTGGAAGGATAGGAGCTTAAGAATATCAAGCTGACGAACACCCTGGAAAAGTGGGACCTCTAAGATATGAATATGGAATCTCGTTTAGAGGCTCAGTTATGAGCACGTTGGATGCATTGGAAAGTGTCTCCGGTTTTCAGAACACAAAGAAAATATCTGACCCTCTCCATAAATCAGCGTAGAACCCATAGAGCTCCCTCTGAGAGAAAAAAATTGTTAGGAGCTTTTGAATCTAGTCCGCTACTTGATAGCATTTTCAACAACACACTGTATGTAGCTCATGCCAATCTCGGCCGCGAGGTGTCCACTAGCGTCCATTCTGGTGGGCTGCAAAGCCCACTTTGCAAGAAAGCTTTGTAATCAAGTCTGGAGAACATGATGTTCGCTAATTAAAACGCGGCTTGAAACACTAGAACGCCTGCTATCAAACTTCTATGGTCTCAAAATAGTGCAAGTCCGTTAGCGGTTTATATGCAGGCAGTTTTGCATGACGATGTGCGTATAATCACTCAGATCGATAGTTTGTTAATGGCTTAATTAAACTCACTGTAGTGGACACGTCTTGATTCCCCTCTGTTGACCCTTTACAGTCCTGGACCTCTGATCAACAGAGCCATATCGCTTCACAGAATGGTCTTCAAGGATAGGCAGGGTGAAATCTGCTAAAGAAGGGCTGTGAGGCTCGTATGAATTTCGTGAAGGTGCTAACAAACATAGTGTCAATGGTTGTGTGAATTTATGCTCCCCACCCAACCCCACGGTTGGTGACGAAATGTTTCCGTTTAAGTTGCCAAGCGCGGCTAACAAATCAACAGCTATCTGACCTACAACCTAATTAAACAGCCGAGCTACCAATATTTCCGTACATGCTACCTAATCATCCCAGTTCTTGTAAGGTTGTTGCAAGATTCGGAACCCGAATTCTCCGCACAAAAAAACAAGGTATTATGGTCTGTGACGTGCTAGCCAACGGCAACCATGGTTAGTTCCGGTCTGCCTGACAAAAGCAGTATCAGCGCATTGCCACCAAGCGCGGCTAACAAATCAACAGCTATCTGACCTACAACCTAATTAAACAGCCGAGCTACCAATATTTCCGTACATGCTACCTAATCATCCCAGTTCTTGTAAGGTTGTTGCAAGATTCGGAACCCGAATTCTCCGCACAAAAAAACAAGGTATTATGGTCTGTGACGTGCTAGCCAACGGCAACCATGGTTAGTTCCGGTCTGCCTGACAAAAGCAGTATCATCAGCTGCATTGCCACGGATCTACTGTTGAACACCCAACAGATCCTGTTCGGGGAAACGCTATACTCCCATACCAGACTCTCTTCAGTTACTTCTTTAACTAGAGACATTCAGACCTTTCAGTCTTTCCAGTCACCAAGAGTGGTAACGTTTGTACAGGGAGACCCACGATAGGGGGCATTTGCACAATGTTTTATAAGATTCCCGCTATAGAAAGTCCCACCGATTGACTGTGTTCAAAAAGAGCATGGCTCAGCAACAGTGAAACTGCCTTTGATTCGTAGAAGCACTCACTGATCGTAAAGAAACATTCACAAGAACGCTAGTTTACAGCAATAGTCAACTAAATGTGCTAAACAAAGGACTCTCATGTTTCAGTTGGAGAGACATTCAGGATATCGAGGAATTTCACCCGGTACCAGACACATACGGTGTTGAAAACTCTGACAGATTACTACGGGTTTCGCCCTTCTTAGGACTCATTGGGTAGACGAAGCCCGCGGGTTCGCGCGATATGCTGGTCTGATTCCGATACGTTCTTACTGTTTTTAATTGAATGTGGCCACTATAGAGCAGCTCCCGCAATCCTTGTGGTCCTGGTAGGCTCATGCAAGCATGTTGTGGGATTTTACTGATAGCTTGAATAAGCCTTACAGTAGGAGAATAATACGAGTCACAAAGAGAACGACAAGAGTTCATCCAGGACAACGAGTTCTATTGACGGCACGGTGTACAAGAGTAAACCAATAAAACGGTCAATTCTGGGTGGAATACAGTAAATGAAGTGAAACTAGTAGTCAACAAGTTGAAATGCGCAAAACAGAGGAAAAGAAAACAGGAAAAAAACAACCTAAGAGGCACAAATGTGCGTCATGGCAAAAGCAGGTTTCTCTATCATCCACAGATCCCCGTCAGCTAACACTAAGTGGACGCTCCAGACAGTATTGGTCCACTTCTGAATGGACTTTGGAAGAGCGCGTAAAAATACTGTCAAATAATAGGCTTTGCAATCCGACAGACCACCGTGCACTGTTTACCGTGTTCCGGAACAACATTGCTATATTGAGCGGACCAATACCGCCCGGCACCGGAGTGATCCAGCCAGCACGTTTACGGGCTTCTTCAAAACTAACATCACCAACAGATGTCATTTTTGCAGGATTTAAAGGATCTGATGAAAAAAAGATGGAAAAACGAATGGGTTTTGCGAAAATGGCCAAGGACGATTAAAACACTGAATGAAAACAAAATGAACAATCCGAACTGGAAATCAGTCATCTGTCTCCTAAGTATCAGGTAGATAGACCACCAGCTGAGCTACCGATGATTTTTGTCACACCCATAACTTCGACCTTAGCCAACACCAAGCATCCGTCTACTGGATTAACAGGGGAGAGTGAGATCTTTGTGTGACTTCGGTGAGGGGTTGGGCGCTGATAATGCACAGATATCCAAAGGTGTGAATGAATATAGTACGAGAAGAAATTTGGTAAATTTTGGTCCAAACGCTCAGTCACCGAGTTTGAACGCAAAGATTTCTGAACTCCAAATCGAACCAGCGACCTTCCACTTGCAAAAGGTGCTCCACTGTGTGACAGGTCAACTAGTGACATCCTTCATGGGACCCATAGCAATAAGGCATCATGGGAGGGCGAAGAACTATGAGTGACGAAAGTACCTTGTACGTTTACATGGCAACGTCGCTAATTTTGATCCTCACCTAACAACCAGACTACAAGCAATAGTGTAGATGGTAAAAATTCTCTGAAAAAGCTCAAGTGGCTAGTTATAAGGAACCCAGGGTTCAACAACAAGCACATTTTCTCATGCTCGGTGAAGCTAATGAACGTTTCGTTCTGAATCCAGCTGGTGCTTCTATTGTCTTCTACATTCTTTCAAAAAGAAACTAGACTCGTGCCCACAGAGATCACAGGATGCCAACCAAATTTAATGGATACAAATGACCAAAAAGGTTGTGAAAAATCGAGAAGAGCAACTGAGCTGCATCCAATATTCATCAGAATGATGATTTCCGAGTTTTAGTTTGCAGCCGCAACAGCTTGCCGGTTATCTCAGCAGCATGCACTCTTGTTCGGCTTTCCTAACAATTGCGAAACATTGGGTTTCCATATTACACTGCGGACTACCTTGCGATTCACAGGCATAAAGCACTATATGTTTAAAGATAAACAAGATAGCAGTGAAAGGTCTAAAAGATCGAACGACACTGCATTTCAGAAGGACAGTAGGAGCGGTCACTTTCAGGGTAGCATGAAGAGAGAAGACACTATTCCTGCGCATGCGGTTTTGGTAGTGATGCCCGGTTTCACAGAAGGCCAGCAATTTTGGATTTCTATTCCACCAAAACACAGTGAGGATGGGAAAAGGGTCCTAGAGATAAGTTTGGCACAGATGACCTTCAGTTCGGTATGGCTGCATGTGGTGTTGACACCGAAAGGTTTGGGGCAGCTTGTTTGGAAAATGTCCCAAGATTCCATGGAGAAAAACGTTACGAATCTTAAATGGCGCGCAGGGGCAACTCATTGAGCAAGGTTTGAAACATGAACTTTCGAGTTGTGGAGATCTGTATTTCGCCCAGACTCAGTTACGGGTATTGTCGATAGGTATGTGACTCAAAATATTTCCAACCGACGTGATTAAAGTAGAGAAATGAGTCCAGTTAGATTTTATGACGAAGTTAGGGACATCACTCCCAATGAACACCAACAGAACGAACTTGCCCAAGGCCAAACTGACGACCATATGACAACATTGTTGCTTGACGCATGAACTTTACCGGACAAACGAGTTCCGACGCATTACAAGCTAAGTTTTCCTAAACTGCAACGGGGACTGAAGCGTAGCAATAAAGGACACAACGGACTACATCTCAAAAATGGTTGATATTCTTGGTAGACATATCGCCGGAATATAACACTGGTGGAGGAGTAAGCCAGCAGAGAGCTGCAGATTCATGATGCTCTAACGGAGACTTACTACAAGCAACCAGAGCTCCAAGTAACCGGAATATAAATACATGAAACTCTACCTACCGTAAACTTAGCCAATCGCTAGCGATTTGTCATGACCGGTTCGGAATGCTCCAACTGTTCGAATAATGTCATGTGCTCGACAGTCGCTTGAAGACTTTTCTATTGACGTTGAATTTTCCCTCATGAATAGCCGATTACGAGGTAATAGACTATGACCGAAAACGTCCTATGAAGGTTTTGCTGTACGCAGAAAACGTTGTTTATGAACCTGATGGGATCGCCAGTAGACAAACTGATAGTATTGCAATGCGTGGTCCCCGAGCTGGCTGGTACTCTTAGCAAGAACTGAAACCTAACCCTTCGGTTATATTTCAGGTGCGTATCTTTACGCACGATACACAAAGGATGTATTGCGTTGGTCTTTGTTGAGCATGATCGGAACCGAATGTGATCGTGTGTCAAGGCGAATGGATACTATCTTCGCTGTCGTCCACGGAATTACCACCACCTAGGCCTGTATTGGCCTCATGGGATCCACCAGTTTAAACCCATGGGTAGAGTTACATTTGTTTCTGTTTTATTATATACAGTTATTGCAAACGAATACTCTCTCCCATAACATGAACAAGGTGGATCAGCTGGACTGCATCGAAGTAACAAAGGCCATCCTTCCAGGAGTCTGTCACTTCTAGAACGAGCTCCAGAGGCTGAGCTAGACTGTACGGAAAACAGGCGCGCACTCACCCTTTACAGAACAAATAGCTTACCTTCAATACCTAACTACATACAGCATGAACTGTTGAGATTAATTATCACGCCTCTTAGGGGTAAAGGGCGTCTGCCACCAGGTCGTTAGTCACTTCCGTTCCAGGAATCAGGTGGCTAGTAAGTCTCTAACATTAGCCCGAAGAACGTCCCTGCATGTCCGTCAACTTGAAGGCACGCGTGCTGGTTTAATAGGACAAACGTTGCGATGATAACACGGCGACACAGGTGTGATCCCAGGTTCAAACGGTCTATTATTTGGTATTGCTTGAAAAAGAGGAAGCTAATAAGACACGTCGAAAAGGTATGATCTCGAAGGAAAACTGCTCATCAGGTTGCCGCTGTTGCCTGCGACGGTTTGGTTTTTCTTGGGCCCCACGAGATAGGCCGAGTTTCCCCTACCCTTATGTCATACTTGAACCCAAATGAAGTAAAATTACCAAACATCAATTTGGCTTTAACAGGAGAATAGGCTGAATCCCACCAGAAATTCTCGTTTATGCTATTCTTTAACTGAATATGGTGCACAAAGGCCGCTCATGCTTCAGTTGGTACGATGTTCGAGATATATCAGAGTGAGTGGTATGTTTCGTCAGGAAAACAATGCGCTACCTTGAACAGCAGAAGAATATCACGAACGAGAATTTGGCTGAGCTTCCTGTTATAACACCAAATTAGTTTGCAAATGGGTGCATTTCGCCAGCAGCTTCGTTTTGTTCAAACTTCAGGTGTGCGTAATGACTTCCAAATGGTAAATATGCATAGTGTTTTCTCAAGAAAACCAGCCTAGATGTTGCATTTCAGGCTCTGACTGGGACCAATATTCCGATAAGTGTAATCAGGCCTCTGTGTACTGACATTTTATTTTGTTTCCCCAATAGCTACCCCACACAGTAATACTTGCTGCTCTACGGTACTGGTATTTAGAGTCTAGACAGAAATGTGGTTTGATGGAGTTCATTCTGGTGGTACAGTATCCCCATCTACCAGCTAACCTAGTTTAAGTAAGCAATACCTGTGTACCGGTGTTTATGATGTTTCTCTTGTGGTGCGCAAATGACTCACCTTAACACCAGAATGGTAAGAAAAATACGTACAGAAAGATAAAATACCCACTTTTGCAAATTGCTCGGGCTGTCTGAAATACGGTATGCTAAAGCAATCAATGGAGCCGCAACTGAATGCCAAAAGGAAGAGATATTTTAATATTTTGTTACAAACATCTTAATTCGGCCTTTTTACGATAAAACTGACCAGGATACCAGGATGTTTAGGCAATATTTCCTAGAAATTTCGCAAGTCTAAAAAGGATGTGCACAGTTATAACATGAAAATCTCTGCATCATTACCAGCTAAAAACTTTGAAATTTGATCAATGGGACTAAAAAAGACTCCACAAGAAAAACAAAGCAGTTTGTTCTAATACGTCACAGCCAAACCGCGCATGCTTACGCCCAGTGTACATCTGTGTGAGATTACCGGGAAGAACCACAAACGAGTATGTTCGCAAAACCGAGTGGCCAACTGCGTGCATAAACTGATGCACTGCGGTAATTCGGATATAACTTGAACTATGAGAGAGGGTTAGAAGCGTACGACCTAATTAGAATAGTTCCCTTACCAAGGGGCGAATGAATGAAAGGGAGATCATCAAAATGCGTGCACAAGATATTTTAAGTAGCCGGGGACTGACCTTCGATAAGGAATAGTTATTTGGTCGGATAGTTCCATTGATTAGTCGGTTCTCCTCTATCCTGACTGGTGTGTGACCACGTGACCTTTGAGATTGGCCTGCACCCGTCGATGTTACAGTGACCGCTGTTTTTTTACCTCTCGATTGGTGATGATGCGCCTGCAATGAAATTGCCCAACTCAGCGAATAAACCAGCGACCGTATATCGTGACCTATCAAGGTTCTTCTCAATAGCGAAGAAGCTACCGTACCATAGGGTGAAGTGATACCGAGGCCAATATGTGACTACCTCCTCTAAAGCTCCTTATTTTTAATCCACTCCCAGATTTCCGATTGGTCATATGGGAAGGTTGCAATTGTCGATGATTTTTGTAATTTCTCTAGGTAGGAAGAGCCTGAGTCAATGAAAGTGAAGTCGATAATTGTCCCTCTTCCTCTGTGATATTAATATTTTCTGATGATTGAACAGAGTTAAAGTATTGACAACTACACTCATTTGCAAGTCAATTTGGTTTTCACTGAAGACTCAAGTGAATCTCTCGTTTATAATGTTCGTCAAATGAATGTGCTGCACAAACGCCGCCTCATGTTTCAGTTGGTACGATATTTGAGATATCGCAGTTGAAGAAAATCATAAACGAGAGATTCACTTGAGTCTCCCGTGAAAACCAAATTGACTTGCAAATGAGTGTAGTTGTCAATACTTTAACTCTGTTCAATCATCAGAAAATATTAATATCACAGAGGAAGAGGGACAATTATCGACTTCACTTTCATTGACTCAGGCTCTTCCTACCTAGAGAAATTACAAAAATCATCGACAATTGCAACCTTCCCATATGACCAATCGGAAATCTGGGAGTGGATTAAAAATAAGGAGCTTTAGAGGAGGTAGTCACATATTGGCCTCGGTATCACTTCACCCTATGGTACGGTAGCTTCTTCGCTATTGAGAAGAACCTTGATAGGTCACGATATACGGTCGCTGGTTTATTCGCTGAGTTGGGCAATTTCATTGCAGGCGCATCATCACCAATCGAGAGGTAAAAAAACAGCGGTCACTGTAACATCGACGGGTGCAGGCCAATCTCAAAGGTCACGTGGTCACACACCAGTCAGGATAGAGGAGAACCGACTAATCAATGGAACTATCCGACCAAATAACTATTCCTTATCGAAGGTCAGTCCCCGGCTACTCGCACGTGTATTAACGCACACGCATCATTAAACACACAATCACTGACTCATTGCTACGCTCCACCCCACTCCACCCCTTGATAACACGATGATGTCACCTAGACTGGTGGTGAAACGTTTACATTCAAATTGCTCAGCTCAGCGAACAATGACCATGATGGCTTCTTTCTCAAAGAATCCCGGAATGTACTCCAAAGCGGTTGCTACACAACGGGCAACACAACCAGAGGCTACATCGAACTAGAGGTCATCGATAGCACAATGCACATCTGAGATGGGTTCTCTGGCTGACCTCAATCACTCGTTCACCATAATGTTACGCGACCAAAACACGAAACTACGGGCTTTCCATGGAGTGGTGTGCAATCATATCAACCTAAAGTATGTGCCCAAAGACTAACGTTTCGAGCAATCCGACAACCTAGGATGTGAACCCAAACATCCAGTTCAATGTCTTCAACTCATTGCGATTGTAAATGGAGAGGATTTTATCTCTACGAGTGATGAAAGTGTTTCGAAGCGTTGATAACCGAAGCACACATACATAGTCTGGTTGCTCTGATGAAACGGATCAGGGGAACTCAGTTTCAAATGATTTAAAAATAACCAAAAAAGGACCCGTGCATCTCTGTGCATAAATTTGCTTGTTTCTGTTCCTGAAAGGTTACCTCACTAACCCTGAAATCGTTGGATCCAATTTCAGTCAGCCTTTTCTACTTCGCTGCATTCTTTGTGTTTCCTGCCTTGCAGCTGTTCACCGTCAACAAGTTGTGACGATACAATGCTGGTATCCTGTCAGTGAGACCGGATTTAGTGAAACGTATTTATGTCTACCTATCTACGCAATAAACTTTAGCAAAGCATTAAAAACCTTTTTATCCCCACAGACCATACTGATAGAAAGTCATTTCAACGCCCATCGAACGGTAGCTAAGCACACAAAAAAAATGAACTGGACATCTGATGAAAAGTTGGAATTGCTGCACCTCTCATACACGGAGAAGTGGACCCGAGCGATCCTTACCTACCCTGAACCACTGTGTAACCACAATCCAGCACAAGTGCTCCAGGTTTGATCCACTCTCCCCTGACCAGAGCTGGACGTCCAACAGCTGCCACCACCAGATCGGCGCGCGATACTTCTTCGGCTAGATTTTGAGAATGAATGTTACACTGCGTAACAGTGGCACATCCAGGACCCGCCAGAAGATCCGCGGTAGGCGCACCAACCAAGCGCCCACGACCGATCACTACACAGTGAGATCCTTTGAGAGGGAAGTCCACGTAGCGAATAAAGGCAAAACAAGCAGCTGCTGTGCAGGGAATGTGGACAGGGTAATCTTTGGGACTAACACCAGGTTGGAAAAGTACGTTCTCACGACTCAGTAGGGCTGTGTTCATATAACCTAGACTGGGAAAACAAAGGTGGAAGTTTGGGAATTGTTTTTACCTATGAAACTGTCATAGTCTCGATGAAAATTCAAGTGACACATTTATCCAGAATAAGCCGGCATATAAACCTGCAATTAGAAACCAAAACTTAATGACAAATTATCGTACACAAGTCACCGATTAAGTTCGTTATGAATACAATCAAGAGGAGCATTTACTTGGACAAACATTGAGTGACTGGATATTCACCACGTCAAGCACATGCCGAGCAGGTTTTCCGAAGAAGAGTGCCCGAGTATATAATATCTACGATGCAGAGTGGACGTATTTTGCTCGTGGAATTACACAGGAAGATAAGTAGTTTGATGTTGTCACGGCATATTTCTGCGCATATCTTACAGTTACCATGAGCATGAAAATACCTCCGCTTGTTGCCATCCAACTGTCAGTAGTTATCTGAGGTTATGCCTATGGGTTCTTTCGTGTTGTAATCTACTCCGAACTCAAAATGCAAGTCGTCCCTGAGTTCTTGGCCTTTTATAGCCAGCCATACTAGGCTACCCCAGTGGCTTTAAAACAGAACAGTACAGTGGTCTACCTGTCTTACAGACCACTTGAGACAAGGACAGATCCAGAAGAAGAACTCGAAAGTAACAATGCGCAAAAGCTCACAACCAATGTTCTGTGATTTGAAACTAAGCTTACGGCGACGGTCGTCGGAACTAGAACTAAAATTACGGAGACCACAGCTGAATTTATAGCATAGCATTATAGCTGAAATAGAACAATTCTGTGCCAAATTTTTCAAGAAAGGAAATTAATCCTGAATGAGATGCTGTTGGTTGGTAGTCTTGTGTATACAATCACGGACCTCAGTAATTCAGGGACGCAGCTTATTGTGGGTCGGCGTTGCACATCAAAATATGAGGATATATGAAGATATTAGTAACGATTCGCTATGGATCGAACCCTGGTAGCTAAGGCCACATAGGCATTGCTCAAAAGCAAAAACCAACAATAATTCGTTGGCCAAATGTTTTAGCGAGGGGCGACAGTTTAGGACTGGTGGCTATGTAGGGCTGTTACCAACCCCCCGAGATGCATTGTCTAATTGGATGTCTCGGGATGGTGACAAACTTGCATGCTGTTGAGATGGTCGCCACTGGAAGACGATAGTCACTTACCCATAACTTAAATTATATGCAGACCCCCCGTTAGGATAATTTCTAGATCCCTTAATTTCTTCGCCAAAATGCAAGGCACCTCTACGCAGATCAATTGAATGTACTGTGGGCGCCGTTCTTCTAGCACAACAGAGCATCACCAAAGCAGTAATCCTAGTTGTCTCCCGTGAGCTGGTCATTTATCTCATGTCTTCTCAGCCACAGAGCACTAAATACGGTTCATTTATTATGTAGTGGTAGTTCCGGGGTAAAAACATAATGCTCTTGCTACCTCTGAACTACGTATGAAAGTAGCTTGCGTGAACGAGACTACAGAGTCCTACGTGGCTCCACATGTTCCCACAGACCACTATCATCGGTAAACACTACACCGTCCTTGTTGGTATCCTGTATTCAGACGCTGGAACCCGTCGTGATAACGAGGCAGTCCACATTTCATTTAAGGCAAACACGTGTCCACAGAATTGTTATCAAAAGCTTCTTTAGAATTATACCATGATAGTACATGTGACATGGGAAGCTTAGTAGGGTCTGGAGTCACACGGTGGGAAGGCAGGTGGTATGGTCTGTTACTGGGGGTTTACCGTTCATTTCATACACAGGATGAGGACTTTGCTAAGAACTACAAACACGTCATACAACACTGACGCGAGCAAAAGATTTGGTGGCACATTTGTACGGTGAGCTAAAGGCATATCTGAAAACTTCCCAGGCCCAACAATGTGTGCGTTCAGTGGAGATTTCGTCCAGAAGCTGAAGTCTATGTATGCCGAAAGGCATAAGTTGTTTCATCCTCGTTGTGAATCATCACATCAGAATTTGAATTACGGTCCTTCAGGCACACCAAAGTTGATGTTCCATGTACTTAAAACAATTACTCCAACGTGATCACTCCGACCTTCCTCAAACAAATCCAACTTAACAATAAATAAATCCACAAACGTTCACATTAGAAGGTCTGACACCGTCAAATTAGGTGTTCGGTGAAAAGGTCAAGCTAAAAAAGTGGAACATTGATTTTTTGGCGACTCATTCTTCTGGTCAACACATCAATGGTTACTAAAACTGAACAAGTAAGTCAGGCAAGTCGATTGTGAGGTAGATAGTTGTCACAGTTTCACTGATAGATTGCGGTTTATCTTTAGTTTACTTGTATGTATCATTCTGTTTTTGCTTTATATACCCTCAGTCGGTATCTGCCAAAAGAAGAAAAAAGGCGGACCACTAGTGCCCGTCAAAGCCTGTTGAATCTAACAACCATTCTAATGAAAAACAAGCAGTGTGACTTGGTTCAACCCTATCTTGAGCACGCATTATTGGCGGACGATATAACAATAATACACTCATTAGCCTGGCAGCACATCAGAAAAGGTACAAAAGTGCACCGACTCTCATTCAATTGAAGCCGTATAAGTAGACCAACAAGTTGGCACTGGGTCAGAGGTTAAGCATCAAACCTATCCTGGTGAGGGATGCCTAAATTAAAGGGTTCAACGCTGCATTCCTCTATGATGGGTCGGAATGATGAAACAGCGCGTTCAACCTCTTGAACGTAGGCAAATGAATTGGGTTCGCCTTGATTGACGGAGTGCTAGACTTTCGAAAATGAAGTAAAGCAGAAAATGTCCACGAGTATAATCTGTCCGAAAAACTGAATAGTCGATTATTTGTTCCACAAGATTTCGTGCACCATCAATTTGTATTTTTCGCTGCTGAATCTTGAAGGGATGGGCTTTACAACGGACACTCGAAAGCTCCATGAAACAGCAAAATCCTCTTGACACTACGCAGAAACGTATGATACGTTTGTGACAGATCGGACTTTCGTCAGGCAGACATCTTTAAAAGTGTTTCTTCAGGAGACTCGTGAACCGTACGGATATCGGATGGCCCGATAATGCCAGCTAAGATTCTGAAATTTGACATTGTACTGCCGAATGCAATTAAGTAGTATGTATTTAAAACCATTGTAAAGTCCGACGGACTAAGCTGAATTATGTAGAAAAAAGTAATACGAGCTAACAGTACATGCATCCGTTAACTACAAAGTGTACCATTCAGCACCATTTATTTGCTACAATACAAGCTCGATGTATGCAAATCCTGGTGGCTACAACATTCTATAATTCTACTGCATGAGGTGGGCGCCAGGAATGTGTTGTTTAGTGCAGCACCACAACCAGTGTAGCCTCCTAGGAAGCACCGGGCCAATTGGCTCTGAACTTACATTCTTTCGGAACATTTTGTTCGGAAATGTACATCCGTGGGCATGAACAATCACCGAGTCCAACATCGTTGCTTGCTGGTGAATATAAGGAATCATCTCCGGTACTCACTGATGGCAGTCCACGACCTATGGTGGTGTTCTGAATAAAGGATAAAGGCCCAACAAAGCGGTCGGCAAAGAACTTTTAACATCGGAAACGAGTGTTATTCAGAAGTAGACAGCCATTCAGGCCGACGCAAACCTGACCAAGAGCCAATATCCTACCTCACTGATTCATCCAGCTACAATAGCGCGTTCGCTATTTGAACACCGTCCAGTGAAATCCCTGAACCAACCATTTGCTGGGGTTCCACGTGAAAGTTGATCGAGCGGGGAATTCCCAACACTTGCGAATGCTGGCCAGGATAAGTTTCGTTCGTCGTATTCCAAACGCAGTGGAATTTTCTTCGGCTGCTTATATATGGTATTCAAAATATAAGTATTACACAGGTCGCACAGTAACTGGTGTCGCATCGAGTTGCTAGGGTCCGCTCATCATTTGTTTGAAACCGGAGATTTCCGGAAACCTGAGCGATCATCTGCCGATCGACTCAATCCGCATCGGCTGTTGACCTATAACTCATAGTATTCTTGCTACTCATGAGTAGCTAGCTGGCTAAGCCGAAAAAGCGGAGGTCAAAGTACTCACCCTTCGACGTCTTTTTGCGCAACAATCGAATGTAAAGGCCCCGATACATCGATCGGATCGATGGAGTCCAGAGGAAGCTGAAAACGAGGAAATGACTGCTTGGATGATAACGGACGAAACTACTGACGTCACAGGAAGACCACATAAGCGACGAGTTTGCTCTCAGTATGACAACAGGAAAGACGGTTTAATGCTGAATGGAGACTGGCGGGTACACAGTGAAACACTGCGGGACAGTCGACACCAGACAAAAGTGGTGGGCCTGACCGGGATTTGAACCCGGGACCACTCGCACCCTAAGCGAGTATCATACCCCTAGACCATCAGGCCACGGAGACAGGTGAACCTTAGACACATTCAAGTGTGAATGACGGTGAGAAAAAGGGCCAAACTAACTGGAGTTATTCACAGTTGAGTGATTCTGAGATTCACTCATCTGCGTGGCCTGATTGTCCACGGGTATAATACTCGCATAGAGTGCGAGTGGTCCAAGGTAAAACCACAGATCTGAGTGAGTGTAGCTGGTAGTGTTTACGACGACGGGGTCACACAAGTCTATAAAAGATGCAGTGAGGTGTTCCATCACACGAAAACTGACTTAAACATGAAGCGCATCTCAAACGTTGAGACGGACTATACCAACTCAACATGTGTGCAGCAAAGCGTTCCGAACAAGTGTTATCTGCGAATTAGGTTTTACCTAACAACGTTGGTCCTTGGACCACCAAACATATAACAATATGAGTGATCGAGCACTCGACGCATGGTGTTCCGCCTCGGAAACTAGGAAAGCTAGCATAACCACAATATGATGACAGAAACCGTAATAACCTTAAGAGGAACAGACAAAATATACCTATGCATTTGGTGATGCAAGGTTAAACAGTCGACAGCAGTAAACAACAGTGAGAAGGGCGGTAAAAGTAACGCATTCGGGGGCCGCTAGGCAGTTGAGTTCTGTTTGAAAATTAACTGGGGAAGTGACTGTAGTGCTATCTTACTACCGTACCAAAGAGAACAATTCCAGGCAGTCCTTCCCATATACAACAGCCAAGTGGGCTTCAGTTCGAATTTCGCTGTCGTGCAGAATTCCAGTAAGGTTGCCCTTTTTGCGATTCAAACAGTCTTGATGAAGAAAAATAATCTGACTTTTCAGTTAGGACTTCACAGAATGCACAAACGAGGTTAGTCTGCATTTCGAACATCTTCGGAGAACGTATTACGCGACTCCAATTAGTCTAGATTCCCTCAGATGGGCTCCTGAAAGAAAAGCTCAGGTACTTGCAAGAAGCCAGGATTCCTTAAAAGATGAGGTGGAAGAACTGTGCGAAAAGACTCGCAGCAGTCACGTATTCCTCCTGTAGACATGTATAATCTGAGTAAGTCTTCCAGACAGAAGATAGGAGGCTATGCGTTCTTTCAAAACAGTTGGTGGAAACAAACGGGGATAATGCTATTCAAGAGGAGTGGGTGGCGGCAGTACCCTGTGGATACCTTCGGATAACGGGAGGACAGACCGAATGAACTAAGGATCAACCTAAACAGAGTGGGAAGAAAATACCGATAACGGAATATCCACGTAGAGTCACAAGTGAATAACGGTTGAAGTACTGCTTAACGATATTCAGTTTTACATTTCGAGACCTGCTGCTACATCAGCTACATACGGAGTAACTGAGACCAACAGGTGTCATCTTTAAAAACATGTAAAAATGTAGAAAGGGATTGACTTGACTGTCTGCTTCACTTTCCTCCAGGTGTTCTATGCGCTCTTCTCTGAAGTTGCTCGTGTACGACCAAGCAAGACCACCATGGTAAAACGGAAATGATTCGAATAGTCTACTGTGTTCGCCGGCACACTACGGAACGTGGTAAGCTTTATTTGATCACGATGCTGCAATTCGACGAATGTAATTGAAACTGAGCATATGCGGTCGGCGTTGAACAGCTAGCACATAAAGCAGTTCGGAATAAAAAAATTACATGAGTATCGCCTGCAAACGATGATCTGGATTCGCATGGCAGCTACTTCGTCCCGAGGTTCGACTGTAACGAATACTGCTTTAGGGAAACCACTCAGTGTGTGTAGAGACCTAATTTACAAATCCGACAGAATAATGAAAAACCCTTCTACAAGCTACCTAGTTAGTTAACTTGACCATCTGTGAGTAGTGAGGCGTCATCCACTTCCACTGTGGGCCTGATGTTTACCAAGCCGTGGGCTTGGAACTTGGCCGGATAATTAGTCAAACAAGCCACATATTTGAGGTCAGATTTACCAGACGCAGAGGTGGGTTCGGTAGGAACGACACTGTAAACCGAAGGAAGACCCCGGGACTGAGCATATCCTTCATGTAAACTTCAGATATTGTTTTATTGTTTTCATTCGGCCCACCACCACGAACGGCACTGTCTGAAACCCAAAACCCTTTAAGAAAACTAACATCCCCGGAGAGCTCGAGAAACTAATCCATCATTTCAGGAGCTGCGACCCTGTAAAAAGGCGCACTGGATAAAATGTAGTGCCTACATATGGTTAGCAACTGACTGTACCTTTAAAAAGGTCAGTACACAACACAGTCTATCTATACAGACTGTCTATGAGACAGAAATGTAGATGTTGGGGGATTTCCGGAAGTGCTACACAGAGGCTGCGCCGTCAAAAACAAGTCAGAATAAGAAACAGATGGTGTGAAAATAAGCGACCACTGGTTGAAAAACGTACCTGTATCATAATTCCATGCACCGTTGGATCTGTATTGAACTGCTTGACCAATTCAATCAACTGTGGCAGACAGTAGAAAATTTAGGACGCTACTTACTGAAGACTCGGTACAATCAGGAGGCAAATGTACATGGGCCAGCTCTACGCCACACTGGTCAGCAAATCTCCGTTTGCTTTCAATGTAAAGAGCAGAATCACTCCGATTACCGACCTGGGGAAAATGGTAGGGGAAGTTAGGAAACGATGATAGAAAAAGTTTGCAGTGAAGATTACAAGTGAAAAACCATAAGTTGCCGGAAGGGATTCGCGTACAAAGTCCACGTACAAAGCACGTTTGCGGACAGATAGGTTATCCATCCACATTTACAAACGACCGGTGTGGCTCATTGGTTAAGGAAGAAGCTCCTAACCTAAAAGAATTGAGATTCAATGATGGAATACACCACTCATAACGCTGCCGAAAACGCTTCGAATGTCCACGATCGGTTTCGCCCTTATTACGGCTAATCAAGCGCTGTTGAGTCTCCCGTTAAAACCAAAGTAGTTCGCAAACGAGTGCACTTCGTGATTCGGCTTCATCTCCAATCTTTTTGTTTTCCATGGGTTGCAGCAAAGCCATGTGATCTCATCCACCTGGAAAGAGCCCACCGTTAACCCACGGCACACCGGTGCGAGGCCGCCACATAATCTGAAGGGAGGACGGGGACAAACACGTCACTGAGATAGGAGAGACCGAAAGACCACATGGATGGAACTCAAGGCCAACGGTTCGCGCCCTAACCAATGAGCAATCTCGAACGCTGCCAGTGTGAGGAAGAACACGAGCTAAGATTTTCTCAGCACGAAGAGACACTGTGGGGTCTATGCAAATAAACGAGGAAACTGTTGATCCTATAGCTACTATTTTGGGGACTGGCAGTGTCATAAGCAAAATCAGGGATGATATTCAAAAGCAACTGAATTTGGCAGTGCCAGGCAGGGAGAAAACCAGAGGTGCAATTATCCGAAATGGCTTACCAGGATGATGTATGGATACAAGTAGTCCCATGAAAAAGTACGCTTATATTTCATCAGCATTGAGCTATAGATGGCAAAGAAGTTTGTGAAGAGACTTGTATTTTCGAGAACCCGAATTACGAATAAGCCAAACATTGTCACCGGCGGGTTTCTGTACGGCAACAGTATTATAAGCAGTACATGACCAAAAACATGCCCTTCAGGGCTCTTTAAGATCATCATCATCGACAGCATGACATCAGTGTTCAACACCGATGCTTTACTGTCGTACAACCATAATTTATTTGAAGGCCTTATTGTGAAGAAAAGAATAAAGGTGGATGGGGAACGAACTTAGTGCTAGCTTAACACAATCATTCCGAGGTGCATACACCTCCAGACATTCACTCAGGCAATCTGGACAGAAACTGACAACAAGAACGCCACTGACATCGGTTGGCAGCCGTATCTTGTAGTGTCTCCAACCAGGCAGTGAGGATCACGTGGTCCCCACCCTGGAAGGCNACCAAGTCAAGGGTTGGCCACCTCTCTGTTTACGCCACTCCGAATTGGGCGTGGAAAACAGTACTCTCTTCGGCAAACGATGGTTTGGCATACGTAACACATGTCCCAACCAACGAAACTTCTGGTGCTGGACACATTCTTCAATGGAAGTACCCGTTACACAACCGAAAACACGCCCTCTAACTGCCTCGTTACGGATTCGCCGACACCAACCCACGCGAGCTATGGTTCTGAGACAACGATTGTCGAACACCTGAAGACGAACATCCTGCTCGAAAAGACCAAGTCTCACAGCCAAACAACAAAACAGCCCGCACTGTAGCTTGATACACATGTGTCTCTTGAGATTCAGGGATACACCACCTTGACGCCAGACCCGGGCCTTGGAGATTCTCGCATTGACCTCATCTGTCACACTACAATCAGAACTAATGCAACTTGTAAGATATGTAAAACGCTCCACAACTTCCAGTACATCTCCTTGGATAGTAAGTGTGTATGTAGGTGCGGGGAACTAATTGCAACATAGAAGTAAGGCTATTAGGATGCGGATGGACCGGTGGGATGTTTCGACAGCTATTGTCGATTAGCGTTGAACGCGAGAGACATGAATGGAATAAATGGAGCATGGGCTTCTATTTATGCACGCGACAAGGAAATGTTTTGTTCACATGCGGGCGAATGTCGGTTGTCTCTGTCTTAGTAACACCGGCAAGTTATGCCATCCGATCGTGTAGAGATCTGCTGCGCGGTGAGATAACAAGCAGGAATGAGATGAAGTGGTGCTTACAAGCTGGTGGGATAGATCCAATGGACAGTACGTGACCCACGAAAATTCCAGAAGCCGTAGGCGGTGATGTTAACGGGTGGTTGGAAAACAAATATCTCCACCATAAGGTTACATTTGGGGCACCCGAGAAAGCCCTTCTCGATGGATGCGGACGAATTAGTGGGGGAACACCTAAGTACAGGACTAGGCGGGATGGTCAAGTATGGAAGCAACAGGTAGTGTCGGTACACGCTCGAAACTTGTTATATGATCATAGCATCACATGAAAACGCAATGATGAAAACAGAACATGGTGCTGAAACTCGTGCACCTAAAGGCGCTTGAAAGATTCATTCGGGGAAGGTGACAAGTCATTCATTCGTGAACTGACTTCACTATATTCATCGCGTCCGCGAGGACCATCCACCTGGAGGAATCCCCTTAGCTCAATCATTACCAAGTTGCAAACGGGATCATGGGTTGCCAGCGAAACACACAGAGAAGAGCGAGCAGACTTAGTGACATTAGACAGCAACATCTCCCTGGACGAACACACCAGCTCTGATACGTTAACAACCATTGCTCAGCAACACTAAGTATGACAAAAACGCGTTTGAGTAATTGGTCTAAATGCGGTTTTGTTGCCTGAAAAAAGAATAAAGTAACATTATCTTCATAAGCCCTTCATAGCAGGGTACCGTCACCCTAGGAGCCAGAATTCAAGGTATCCAGCTGGCATCTGCAATGTGCAGATTTTACATCCAAGGTCCAGTTGCAACTGTGAACGGGACGCGAGCAGTTGGAAGGAGGAGCTTCACACGCGATTTACAAGCGCTGACGAATCCATGCGCTTGATATAGACGCCGGCTTTTTCAAGCATGCATCGCCCGTCGTCGCCAATGATGTATTTCGTCTGATATTATTTTGAGGGGCCAGAAACGTATGTATTTCGAGTAAAAGACAGACTCGACATCCAACATGACTATCATTGTCCTTGGAGCATTGGTTTGTTCTATTAAAAAGATTGGATCACGAATGCTCAATAAGACAAGACACTCGTCCGCAATAAAGCGGCATGGATTGAATCCCTACGTTGTTGCCGAACCCGTTTTGCTGAAGATAACAAAGTCATTGGCAGGACGGCCAAGAATCCTACAAGTACCCATATGAACTGAGTGGGCGCTTGCTAGCCTTAAGGACCCAGGGCTAGCATCAGATCGTGGGTTAGTCTAACCCATAGGTTGTTCAACGGTATCAACGCGATAAGAGGACCTCCCTTGGGAAAAAGGCCACGAGCAGAAAGGGCTCGTAGAGTGGACCCTTCAAATAGTCTGAAAAGTAAATCTCCTGAAGTGAATGAGATTCTACAATCCGTTAAGCTTCCTGCACTGCTCTCAAACCCAGATTATTAACATGTCTTTCACGGTCTGAGATGACGTTTACTCTTGTAAGTGACAGTAATTATCGCCAAAACAGAATAACTCACCTCAATCACTGTTAATTTGGGAGATACATTGAATTCCGCAATTAACCGGTTTACCTCTGCTTTTATCCGTTGGCAAATAGCTAAACAGGAAAGAGATAAGATGATGGGAACCGATAGTGTACCCTGCGCAAGTGAACGACCGCACAGAACCCGACCGCGAACGGGTAGCATGTGTATGTTGAAAGATATGATAAATGAAAACGAGTCACCAAGGTCGAATGTCAACTCGACTTAAATGAGTACAACTCCTCGTCCATCGGGCTAAAATGTAGAAAAGCAGGGTTTTTATCTTCAGGCGTCTATCATGGCAAAACTCCACCCTGTTTACATGTCACAGGGTCAAACATAAGACTCAAGAGTTACCTCACCAACTTCTTGCACACCTGCATCTACCTAATAACAACGGTGCGTGGATGGCACAGTTAGATTGAGGTGGAAAGAATAACTATCATCACCATCACCATCGTCTTCAGCTTAACGACAGGTCAACGATGAACGTTTACTAGCAGTAGAAAACTCTGGTCACCACCCGTCTTCCATAGTCATATCAACGACGTCATCATCATCATTGTCAGCTGTAATAACCGCATACTCGTCGTACAGTGGTTGCAGCTGCCGCAGTTTCGTACACCGATGATTTGGGGAAGGGGGTAGGTAGCTGTGCATTGCAGGCGCGAGCTGGTAAGTTGGTGCATAAATCCAGCACTGTCAGTGGGCTGTCAAGTGGGGAGGGGTGAAAAGGAGCTATGAATTGAAGACAATAGCTTTGATGCACGAGCGCCATTGAGGGCGCGACTGGGCCATGTCTGACAATGTCTCCAGCCATTGATGTGGCCCGTCTCGGGGTCCCCATCCAGAAAGACGGCAATTACCAGCGCAGCTGAGTTTGCTGGTAATGGCTTTCACACTTCGCTGCCAAGTCATTATTTCACCGCCTCTGGCTCTCTTCCACCCTTCACGTGGTTGTACGAAAAGAGCCCTTCGAGGAAGTCGGTCGACTGGCATGCGCAGCACGTGGCCAAGCCAGCGCAACCTATGCAGTGTGATCAGTTCATCTATCGAGGGTGAGTTATTTCTCCCGAATATCATTCGACGTACTTCAGAAT